ATTAGAGTACTTTCCTGAACTTCCTGCCCTGTAAGCATCAGCTACCATTGGCTTACTTGTGCGCTCTGTATTGTTTTGCTCGGCTCAAAACCCTCCGCTCATGTTCGTGTTTAGGAGAGACAGAGCTCTAATGGTGGCGAGTGCCAGCTGCCAGTACTTTCTAGTAAAATTGTTGGTGACGCCGTTTTTCAAAAATTGCTGACAAGTTAATTGCTAAGAGTTTCCACTTCTTGGCAAGCGTTAGTTGCTATCGGTTGAAGGGGGCGGGGGAAGAGTCGTTGATTGATTGGTTTTCTAAGTCCAGCACAACGATCTGCTGTCTCTAAGAAGCGCTTCATTGATAGGCATCTTATTCATCCAAAATAAACTCTTTTTAAATTATTTTAAAAGTTTTTTACGTATTTTTATTCGTTTCTCATTTTAAGGTTGCTCTGGCCTTGGCAAATCTACATTCATCAATTCACTTTTCTGTGCCGAAATCAATAATGTGGAAATGGAAAATCGAACAGTTACGCCGACGCTGCAGATTGAGGAAAAAATGGTTCGCCTGGTTGAAAATGGCGTTACACTGAATCTTACACTGGTCGATTGCCCGGGTTTTGGAGATGCTCTCGACAATAGCCAGTGGTTAGTTGAAGTGCGGTGCAATGGGAACTTGAAGAATTAGTGCCCGTGTCAATTTTCGGAGCTTTCTTTGTAAAGCACGTTGTCGTAGTCTTAGAATGATAACGATGCACTGTGAACATTTCTGGAAATGCTAACGCCTTGCCATGCGTTTCTTCTGTGAGGAGAGGATGTGAATGCCAGAATGGAAGCAGGCTGGCCACTGGATGCATGACGCAATTGCTCTGGGCAACTGGGAAAGGTGTCGAAGAAACAGACGAAGAATTGCGGCTGATGCGAGTACAAACGGATAGAAGCTAAAGCAACCGAAACATTCATTTAGAAACAGCACTGTGAATATGGGCAGGAAGACAAAAATAGCTCACGCAAATGTTTGCATGTAGTATATAAATGGGAACAGAACAACGTATATGTGTATTGATTGTTTCTGCGTGCATACATTCATACACGTATGCATATATATACATATATATATATACACATATGTGTATATATATATATGTATATGTGTGGCCGTTATGGGAATTTCAAGGCAAAGCCTGGACGAGGGGAGAACGAGGGAGAGAAATAACGTTGACAAATACAGCACTGGCAAGAGGAACGGTGGAAGTGGACAGAAACGAACAAACTGCTTGTTGGCAATACCCGGTTTCGGAAAGATGCGAGGCAAGGATGGACTTTGCACCAAACTCAAAAAAGAATGAAATCGACTATATCTTGATTGGCGCATCCTCAAGGGCTCTCCTTCAATACGCGAAGAGGCCACCGCACGCTGCGGGCCAGAATACACATTATTCCGGCTCATGAAATAAGGGTATTGCATGAGGCAAGTCTGCATAACAGGCCAAGAGAAATCGATCGTCAGAAGATGAAAGGATAAGCTGAGAATGCCGACTGGACCATGAGGACCAA